CGGCTCCTCAGAAGGCTGCAAAAAGAGATCGCGGGATCCCCGGGAGAACCGTCGCAAGTACACGCCAGTTGCCAAGCCTCTGCATTCCGACCACAGGGATGCTGCACGGGTCGTTAAGTGTGAAAAAACCGTCCTGTCACTTTTTTTCCAGCACCGTTGTAACGTCGAACGGCCACTAAATGAACCGTTCTAAGTCGAGGACCACCCATAGCTAAATTGTGGCTCAGTGTCTCTGTTCCCCGAAAGGGGGGACCTCACGAGGGGCTTGGCACCGTCCGCGCTGCCTTAAGAGGCCCCCCCCCCCCGGAGCTGCCTGGCACTGGGGCCGCCATACCTGTAGGGTTGCCCGGGTTGATGACGCAGAGAACCCGCGGCCGGCAACGCCTCCGCGCCTGGCCCAGCGCCCTCCGCAGCTCCTCAATGCTCAGAGCCCAGCAATGGTCCTCGTCCAGGTAGTAGTTGATCTGCTGCGCGTTGAGTTCCGCCAGGGTGGCTGAGTAGAGCGGGTATTGGGGGATGGGAATCATCACGCCTGTCCGGGAAGACCCCTCCCCTGAGACCAGCAGCTTCAGGACCGCCTGAGGAAGGAAGCCAGAGGGGGTTAGCCCCACCAGGAGCGGCTCAGAAAGGTTGCGGCATTGGGGTTTATGTAGTCCAACAAGGAAAAGGACTCGGGGGGGACGTGGTAGCAGTGCTCCAGTATTTGAGGGGCTGCCCCAAAGAAGATGGGGGGGGGTCAGCCTGTTCTCCAAAGCCCCCGAGGGCAGGACAAGAAACGACGGGTGGAAACTCATCAAGGAGAGAACCAACCTAGAACTAAGGAGAAACGTCCTAACAGGGAGGACAATTAACCAGTGGAACAGCCTGCCACTAGAAGTTGTAGGTACTCCATCACTGGAGGGTTTCAAGAAGAGACTCCAGAGCGGAAGAAGCTTCTTGGATGAGAAGCGAAACGCCTTCAAAGAAAACCCAGAAAGTCCAGTTGCCTCTTGAGAGAGAGAGAAAAAAAGCCCCTTTGGGAGAACCAGGACCGGGATGGCTGAGAATTCCCACTGGCTTCCCCACTGTTTTTAGTTGCCAGAAGGCTGCCCCTACGACCGTCATAAAATGGAAAAGGAAGGGGAGGCATTCTGGTGCCACTCAAGGTGGGCAGACAGTCATGGCAACTCCTCCAGGCTGAGCACCCACCTGCTCGGGGGTCCTGGGCAAGGCCGTCTCCCTCCCTTGGCTGCCCCACTTCTGCCAGGAGACGGAGGGTGCCAGGAATCAGGACAAAGGGAGCTTTGTGTAGTTGGTGCCATGCCCGGCGTTGTCCCCGGCGAGGCGAGCTGCAAAGGGGTTCTGCCAGGGGAGGGCATTGGAGGGGGGGCTAGCAGAGGAGGAGGGGTTGCAATTCTGGATTGTAATTCTATTACGCCTGCCAGTCCCAGCACTGATGAGGTTACCCAGCTGGATCATGAAACGCCTGCAAGAAACCCCCCACCGAACTGAGTGCCCCCCTCCCCTCCCAGAAATCTTTCTTCCCTTCCATCCTTTGGCGCCCTCTGAATTCAGCCGCCCCCCCGCTTTCCCCAGTGGCTCCCCAGGGCTTGGCTTCCTTACCACAACAGCGCTGCTGGCCCCCGTAGACAGGTAGATGTTCTGTGGGTCAGAGGGGATTCCCCCATCTCGGCACTGGATGAAGGCAGCCACATCCTGACGGATGAGCTCAATCCCAGGACTGGCACTGTAAGGAAGAGAAAACGGGTGGGGGGTGAGGAGGAGGAGGACTTGGCTCTGGTCTTGGGGGGGGAGGGGCCGAAGGGGTTTAATGAGAGGAAGGGGCATTTGCATCAGGGGTTGGTAGGGTTAGCCCATATTTGATGGGCAACTTTATGTGTGGGGGGGTGCAAAAGGGGGGGGGCAGGAATTTATTATTTTATTTTATTTATGCAATTTATAGCCCCCCCCCATTTATCTCAAGGGAACTTTGAGGGCCTATAGATTTTATAAAACAGGGGGGGGACACACTCAAGGGCCATGCTGTCACCCTGGAGCAATCGGCGGGATCCCACGCGATGCATACGGGGGTCCCACATCCCCTCCTCGCCCCTCTTCAGGCACCTTGCAAAGGGGGCATCCCAAGGCTTGAGGGGTCAATCCAAGTGCCCCCACCCCCCACCGCAGGAATGCAGGAGATGCTTAATCCGGAGCTCCCCAAGAGGGTCCCCCACAACCAGTTGCTTTGACTGCCCCCCTCCCCTTTGGAGGAGTGGCCCTCCGTATAGAGGGGCCAGGGGAAGCCCCCTCCCCATCTTTGCTCCAGGTCAGGGTTAGGGTTACCCCACCCCGAGGATGTCCAGACACTCACCAATGCTCTGCCCTCCGCAGGCGGCCAGGAGCCGCTGAGCTTTCTGCTTCGCATCTTCAGGGATATCGGGGGAATTCAGGAGGTCAGGATACATGCAGAGGGCGCTGACCTGTTGGGGGGGGGAGGAATTAGGGTGATGCTGCAGCCCCCCCCCCACTTCCCCC